GTGTTCTTAACTGCTGAGCCATTCTCCAGCCCCTAGAGTACTTTAAAAAAGTTATTATTTTAGCCGGGCGTGGTGGTGCACGCCTTTAATCCCAGCACTCAGGGGGCAGAGGCAGGCGGATCTCTGTGAGTTTGAGGCCAGCCTGGTCTCCATAGCGAATCCAGGCCAGCTAGGGCTACAGAGAGACCCTGTCTCAAAAAGGACCCCCCCCAAAAATTATTATTTTAATTTTATGTGTATGAGTATATTGCTGGCTTGTATGTGAGTTCACCTCTGTCATGCAGTGCCTATGGATGTCAGAAGAGAGTGTCGGATCCCCTGGAATTGGAGTTGTTAGCTGGCCGTATGGGTGCTGGGAATGGAACCCTGGCCGTCTCTGCAAGAGTAGCTAGTGCTCTTAACTGCTGAGCCATCTCTTCACCTCCACACCAACCCCCTTAAAAAACTCCAAAGCCAGGCATAGTGGCGCACACCTTTAATCCCATCACTCGGGAGGCAGAGGCAGGCGGATCTCTGTGAGTTCAAGGCCAGCCTGGTCTACATAGTAAGTTCCAGGACAGCTGGGGCTACAGGGAGACCCTGTCTCAAAAAGACCAAAGGAAAAAATCCAGTCAGCTGTTATAAACACTTGGGTTTTTGCCTTTTGGATGTGGTAAATAATGCTGTGAACATTGATGAACAAATAATGTTTGAGTATTGGTTTGTTTTGACAGTGTTCTACCAAATCAAACTTGGGGTTTCACATATATGTGTTAGGAAGGGGCTGGAGAGATGGCTCAGCGGTTAAGAATACCGGTTGTTCTTGTAGAAGATCCGGGTTCGAATCCCAGCACCCATATGGCAACTAACAACTGTCCATAACTCCAGTCCCAGGGGATCCGACAGCCTCTTCTGACCTCTACCAGCATTGCACGACACGGGTGCACTTACCTATATGCAGGCAATACACACATACATGTAAAATAAAATATTAAAAAAACAAAAACCCCAATCCAGCCTACTGTGGTGGTACAGACCTGTAATCCCAGCATTTAGGAGGCAGAGGCAGACAGATATGGATGTGGATTGTTGAGTTCAAGGCCAGTCTGGTCTAATAGCAAGCTCTAGGCTAGTCAGAACTACAGAGCTACATAATGAGACCCTGTCTTAAAAAGACCAAAGAAAAGAAAAAAAGAGCATTGGTTTGGTTCCTAGAACCCACATGGTGGCTAACTACCATCTGTAACTCCAGTTCCAGGGGATCCAATGCCCTCTTCTGACCTCCATGGGCACTGCATGCCATGGGTACCCTTACATACATGCAGGCAATACACTCATACACATAAAATAAAATATTTTTTTTGGTCTTTTTGAGACAGGGTCTTGCTGTAGTGGGGCTAGCCTGAAATTCACTATATAGTCCAGGCTGACTTTGAATTCACAGAGATCCACCTGCCTCTGCCTCCCAAGTGCTGGGATTAAAGGCTTGGCCTACCACGCCTGGCAAATAAAATATTTTTTGAAAAATTACAAAACTCATAAAACATAGGAAAAGTTTGATGACCTCAGGTTAGAAATGACTTCCTGAAAATGAAAGAAAAAGCAAATTGAAAATAAAATCAAAATAGAAAACTTTAGCTTGGTACATACCTGGAATCTCCAGAATTTAAGTGGCAAAAGCAGGAGGATCATGAATGCAAGGCCAGCCTGGGCCCTAGAGAATTACCAGCTCTTCGGAAAATATAGGCAGCTCAAGAGATGAGTTATGGTATATAGGGATTTCAAGGTCCCTGTAGCTCCATCTGGCCTGGAACTCTGTAAACCAGGCTGGCCTTGAACACACAGATCCGCCTGCCTTTGCCTCCAGAGTGCAGGAACTAAAGGCATGCTCCAATATACCCCACCTTTGATCCATTTTTAATTCACTTTTGAGTGTGGGATGATGGTAGACAAGGCGTCTACAATCAGGAGAATCCTAATTTTGGAGATGGAGTCAGAGAACTGATAACAGTTGAGAGAAGACAGCAGGCCTTCTTCTAGATCTAGGAAGGACTCTTCAGAGGCACTGAAATTGGAATGAGTACATGTAAATTTTTTAAATGGGGCATGTTTTCAAGGTAAGGGTACTACTGACAGCTCTAATTCCAGTGTAAAGAGTTCATGTTAAAGTTAATACTTTTTAAAAGTTTGTATTTGAAAAAAAAAAAAGTGTATTTGGATTTTGGGAATGAGTAGGATAACCGAATAAACCTTTGGCCACCTTTTGGTGCTCTCATAATCTTTTTAGCTGAGTGTCCTATGAGGACACAGCATTCACTTTAGAAAAAATTTGAGTGTTTTTAGCAGGATCATATTGCATAATACAGCTAAAGCTAACAGAATAGGATTCCTAGTTCTGTATTACTATTTTTTGGAGCTGAAGTCATGTTTAACAAGGATGGCCCAATTGGTATTGTGATGCTAGAGTTGAAATTCTTATACTTGTGCAAGGTGAACCAGAGTGAAGGTATTTGATCAGAATGTTTTTGCTGGGGGCTGGTGAGATGACTCAGTTGATAAGGCCATTTGTTCGCTACCAAGCCTGAACTCACATGGTGCAGAGAGAACCAGTTCTTGTAGGTTGTCCTCTGACCTCCACATGCTCATGGTGGTTTGTCAGCTCTCACATATCCATATGTACATGCACACACATACATAAAATATACACATTAATGAAAGTTTTTAAAAAATTAAAAAACGTTTTGGGGGACTGGAAAGATCGCTCAGCATTTAAGAACATTGGCTGCTCTTACAGAAGACCTGGGTTCCATTCATAGCACCCACATGGTAGCTAACAACCATCTGTAACTCCAGTTCCAGGGGATCCAACACCCTCTTCTGACCTCCAGGGCCATTGTAGTACACCAGTGCCCTTACATATACACAGGCAATACACTCATACACACATAAAATAAATGCTTTGCTGGACATGGTGGCTTATGCATATAAGCTCATCACTTGGGAGCCTGAAGTAGGAGGATCAAAGAATTGAAGGCAGGGATCCGAGAGATGATATTTGCAAGCACTTACTGAGCTGAGCATGGCGGCACATGCCTTTAGTCCCAGCACTCAGGAGGTAGGAGGATCTCTGTGAGTTCAAGGCCAGTCTGGTCTACATAGTGAGTTCCAGGCCAGCTGGGGCTGCAGGGAAATCTGTCTCAAAAAAGATTTAAAACAAAACAAAACAAAACACTTACTGCTCTTACCCGAAGTTTGATTCCAGGAACCCACTTGAGAAGCTTACAGCTAGCTATAACTACAGCTCCAGGTGATCCAACACCCTCTTCTGACCTCTGCAGGTACTTGGACTCACATACAAATACCCCACACACACACATGCAATTAAAAATAAAAATCTTAGCTCCGTGTCCAGCACTTGGACAATAGAGGCTGGCCTGGTCTACATAGTGAGTTCCAGGATAGCTGGGGCTACAGGGAGACCCTGTCTTAAAAAAAGAAAAAAGAAGAAAAAACCAAAAAAAAAAAAGCCCTAAACACCAAACAAATCAAGGTGGGACTGGAGAAATGGCTCAGCAGTTAAAGAGTACTGGCTGCTCTTACGACCCAGGTTCCCAGAGCACATAGCAGCTAATAACTGTCTGTAACTTCAGTTCAGAATCTGACACCCTCTTTTGGCCTCTGTGGGCATTGTACACTCATGGTCTATTTCCATACATGCAGGCAAAATACTGATACACATAAAGTAAAAATAAATGTGTAGATGATAGATAGATAGATAGATCTTTTTAATTTTTTTATTTTATGTATATGAGTGTAGTTCCTGCATGTATGTGAGTGTACCTGTGTCGTGCAATGCCACAAAGGTCAGAAGAGGGCTTTGGATTCCCCAAAACTGGAATTAAGGACGGTTCGTAGCCACCATGTGGGGAAGACTAGGTCTCTTGTAGGTCAGGATGACTTTGAGCTTTAAAAAAATCATTTATTTTGCATGCACATATATGTATGTATGTGTGTGTATTCGTGTGCATGTTATAGTGTGTTTGTAGAGGTTAGAGGACTACTTTGGGTAGCCAGTCCTCCTTCCACCATGTGGGTCCCTGGGGTCAAACTTGGGTCATCAGGCTTGGTAGTAAGTGCCTTTCCCTGCTGAGCCATCTTGCTGGACTGACTTGGTACTTCTGATCCTTCTGCCTCCAGCTCCCAAGGGCTAAGGCTATAGGTATACACCACCATACTGGCTTTTTTCCCCTTTTTAAAGACAGAGTCTCATGTAACCTAGGCTTTTTGCGACAGGGTCTACCTAAGCCCTACCTAGCCTAGGATAGCCTTGAGCTCTTCATCGTCCTGCCTCTGCCTACTGATTACAGGTGGTTGTCACAATGTCTGGTTCTGAATAATTTTCTTTAAAGATAGATTTATTTATTTATTTATTTATTTATTTGTTTATATTTTTTTTGTCTTTTTTGAGACAGGGTCTCTCTGTAGCCCCAGCTGGCCTGGAACTCACTATGTAGACCAGGGTGATCTTGAACTCGCTGAGATCCACCTGCCTTTGCCTCCCAAGTGCTGGAATTAAAAGGGTGAGCCACCATGCCTGGCTAAAGATTTTTTTTTTTTTTTGGTCTTTTTGAGACAGGGTCTCCCTGTCGCCACAGCTGTCCTGGAACTCACTATGTAGACCAGGCTGGACTTGAACTCACAGAGATCTGCCTGCTTTTGCCTTCCGAGTGCTGGGATTAAAGGCATATGCCACCATGCCCAGTGAGGCTAAAGATTAAAAAAAAAAAAAAATTTTACTTATGTATATGAGTGTATTGTCTGCAGGTATATAAGTGCACCCGTGTCACGCAGTACCCTCAGAGGTTAGAAGAGGGTGTTGGATCCCCTGGAACTGGAGTTGCAGACAGTTGTTAGCCACCATGTGGGTGCTGAGACTTCAACCCAGGCCCTCTGCAAGAGCAGCCAGTGCTCTTAAGCAGTGAACCGTCTCTCCAGCTCCTTATTTTCATTTTATGTGCATGAAAAATATGAAATGTTTCATGAATTTGCATGACATTCTTGCATAGGAATCATGCTCCTCTTCACTCTATTCCAATATAAGTATCTGTGCTGCTGAAGTGAGCACTGGAACAATTTTCTTTGAGACTTTTCCCCTGCCAGAGATCTTTGAATGGTTTGGGCAGTCATTCTGAAACAGTTCTTCAAGTATTTCGTACTTTGTGAAGAGAGCCATCTTTTTCTATATTTGTTTTTTCCTCCTTCCTCCCTCTCTGTCACCATTCCTTCCCTCCCTCCCTCCTTTTCTCCTTCCCTCCCTCCCTCCCTCCTTTTCTCCTTCCTTCCCTCTCTCCCTCCCTTCCTCTTTTTTTTGTTTTTTGTTTGTGACAGGGTCTCACTATGTAGCCCTACCTAGCTTGAAACTTGTTATGGAGACCAGGCTTGGCCTGGAAGTCACAGAGATCTGCCTGCCTATTTACCTGAGCACTAGGACTAAAGGTGTACACTACCCTACCATCTATGGAGGATGGAGAGATGGGTCAGCTGTTAAGAACACTGGTTGCAGAAGACCTGGGTTCAAATCCCAGCACCCACATGGCAGCTGTCTGTAACTTCAGTTCCAGGGGATCCGTTGGCCTCTTCTGTCAACTGTGGGCATTGCATGACATGGGTGGGTGCACTTGCCTACATGCAGGCAATACACTCATACACATAAAAATAATAAAAAATATTTTAAAAAATATTTTTAAAAAAAGGTGTGTGCCACTACACCCATCTTTTACTTGCATTTTTGCCTTAATATATTTTACAGAAATAGGTCCTTTTCGTTTTAGGAGTTTTTTAACCTACATTTTAAAGGATTCTTGCCCTTTTGATCTTGGTGTTGATGGTATTGAATCTTTACATTCTTGTTTAATTTTTGTTTATTTTTGGCTGGAGTATCTTGGATAGGTTTCTTTTTTGGAACATTTTTCTTCAGTTGCCTTGTCAAAATCATTATCTACCTGGATGGAGTGGTGCATGTTTGTTATCTCTGCACTGGGAATGTGAAGGTCAGAGGATTAGAAGTTAAGGTCATCCTTGGCTGTATAGCAAGTGAGCAATGTGAGACCTCATCCAAAAAACAAAAAGAAGGGAGGCACGATTGCTCGCACCTTTAAACCAAGCATTAACTAACTAGCTAGGGAGACAGAGGCAGGTGGATCTCTGTGAGATCGTGGCCAGCCTGGTCTATATAGCTAGATATGGAGAAAAAGAAAAGGAAAGAAAGTACAAAACAAGCTGGGTATGGTGGCTCATACCTGTAATTCCAGTAATCCAAAGGCTGAGACAAACGATCACTTCAATTTTGAGTCCAGTCTGGGCTACATAAATGACTTTTTCTTTTAATTTTTTACATTTTCTTTCTTTAATGTGTGTTTTCATGTGGAGGTCAGAGGACAAGTTTTGGGAGTTAGTCTTCTCCACGATTTGAGTCCTAGGGATCAAACTCAGGTTGTCAGGCTTGGTGGCTAGTGCCTTTGCCCTCTTGAGGCATCTCACCTGCCCAATTTTTAATTTTATTTATTACTGTGTGTATGAGTGAAGGTGTACTTGTGCCACATGAGTATGTGGAGATCAAAAGGCAACATCTAGGAGTTTGTTCTTTCCTTCCAACTGTGGTTTCCAGTGATGGAGCTCAGATCACCAGGCTGTGTGGCAAACGCTTTTGCCCCCTGAGCCATCTTGCTGGCTGCTGTTTGTTTTCTATAGTTACTGCTTGTTTTAGACATTTCTATGGACTGAATCCTTAAAAACTATCTTGTCAGCTGTTTTGGTGACCTGTGGACTGTTTTATCATATTTAATTTTGGTGGTTCACTTAATTTTTCCTTTTATTGTGTTTCTGGTGTCATAGTTAGGAAATGCTTACAAATCCATGGTAATTTTTCAGTAGTTATAAGAAAAGCCCTGGAGATAAATTCTCAGCTTGATTTAGGTTACATGCCTGTTTTTAAAGCAATAACTGGTGAAGATGAGTTCTGATTAACTGAACTAGATGGTAGGATTAGTCACATAGATTGAGAATGAAGTTAATGCTAAGATGCTATTTCCAAAATGAAGGACAAATAGATGCTGAAAAAATTACTCGGGAAATGATTGATGAATGTGAAATATTCTTAGTACACTAAAAAGTTTATGATGCTCCTGAGTATACTTTTTTTTTCCCCCAGAAGGCCTTGAACTTTTCAAAAATTAACTTTTTAATTAAATTAATTTATTGTGTGTGTGTGTGTGTGTGTGTGTGTGTGTGTGTGTGACTGTGTGTGTGTAGAGGTCAGAGGACAACGTTTGGGAGTTAGTTCAGAATATACATTTTATTTTTTAATTATTATTGTTCTTATTATTTTTTTTGACTTTTTAAGATAGAGTCTCTCTGGAACCCCAGCTGATCTAGAACTTGCTATGTAGACCAGGCTGGTCTTGAACTCACAGAGATCCCCTCGCCTCTACCTCCCAAGTGCACCATACCCAGCTCAGAATACACATTTTAAAAATATTTTATTTATTATTTTTATTTTATGTGTATGCATGTGTTGTCTGCATGTAGGTAAGTGCACCCACGTAGTGCAATGCCGGTGGAGGACAGAAGAGACTGTTGGATCCCATGGAACTGGAGTTACGGACAGTTGGTACCTGCCATGTGGGTGCTGGGATTTGAACCAGGATCTTCTGCAAGAACAGTCAGTGTTCTTAACCACTGAGCTATCTCTCCAGCCCAGAATATATGTTTTAAATAGAAGTATTCTTTTTTTTTTTTGGTCTTTTTTTGAGACAGGGTCTCCCCAGTAGCCCCAGCTGGCCTGGAACTCACTATGTAGACCAGGCTGGCCTCGAACTCATATTTATTCTTTTTTTTAAAAAAAATTAGTTAGCCGAGCGTGGTAGCTCATACCTTTAATCCCAGCTCTCGGGAGGCAGAGGCAGGTGGATCTCTGTGAGTTCGAGGCCAGCCTGGTCTCCATTAGCGAATCCAG